CCCCAAAACCCCAAAACCCCAAAACCCCGCAAAATAAAAATATCAGTTTAATGCTGTAAATTTGAATTTGTGAATCAATTTAAATTTAGCCTTTTTAAGACATTTAGAGCTAATGTTGGTTTATCAGTCATTATGCCCTAAATACTTGTTGTCTGAAGAACAATTTTGATATCATCTTCTTCATTAATCACATAGTAATTTGTATAAATACCCCTGAGATTAAAATGTCTAATCATTGGATCACACAAATGACTCATTATCCATGTGATTGGTATATACAATAGAGTAAAAAAGCTTCTTTCCTATTTCCATTTAGCCCAAGCATACTAATTACTCATATAAGGAAGAGAAGCAACATCTTCATTGATAGGTACAAATGGCAACATTCCAAAAATATATAGAATGAAATACAAGATTACTTTTCCTTATGGCATAAAAAATGGGACTTCGACAAGTTGTTCTCTGCACAATTTAACCATCTGAGCATTATTTTTACTAGATTCTGTCCCTATTATAGTCGTACTCCAACGATTGTATCTTTTGATAAGTCCAATAAGTTAATTCCTAGCCTCTGGATCTTAACTATCTTTGAGTTCAAGCATTACAACTGTGGTAACTGGTAGAGTCTCAAACACCTGTTAAAGCGAAACTATTTATGGTTTAATTTCAGTCGTAAAAACGTATGATTCCCCATATGAAAACCATATTGGGATAGGACTTTTAGGATGTGGGAGGTCGTTAAAATTTGTTTGATTTACTCTTTAATTCAATCCACAAGTTCGTAAGAAATCATCATCATGAAATGCTATAAGAACTTTATCTTTTGTCATTTGAATATCACACTCTACAAGATGAACTCCAATTTTTTCCTATACAAATTAAATTTTATACCAAATTTTACTGAATGTTGAAAAGATTCAATAGTACTTTCAATTATCTCGAATGCTCCTCCACCTCTATGGGCATGGATATATTTATTAAGAGAAGTTGGAGGTTAAGGTAGTTTTAATTTATTTTTCTTTTTGAATAAAATCCGAGGAAACATTAATAGTAAGCATGATATTCCTGAGTATACACTTAGGACTAAGATAATTATTTCAAAAGCAATCATTTTTAATGTTCTGTTTTTAAAAAGAACTATTTTTAATTACTTTTACTATTTACATAACTGTTATTTTAAATTGGGGTTTTGGGGTTTTGGGGTTTTGGGG